GGTCGGTAGATAGGTAGGTAGGTAGGTAGGTAGGTAAGCAGGTGAGTAGTAGGCAGGTCGCTCAACAAACACAAACTTGGATACATACGTACGTGGCAGGCAGACAGTCACTAAGACAAACGGGCAAACACACACAGACACAAATAGATAGAGCGAGAGAGAGAGAGAGAGCAGAGATAGGTAGATATAGAGATAGACAAATAGAGAGAGAGAGCGAGAGAGTTGTATACATGTATAGTTTATATACACATAAATGTATACCCATACATTGAGAGATAGATAGAAGAATAGATAAATAGATAGATAGAGATAGATTCTTTATATAGATAGATCGATGGGTAGATAGGTAGGTGCATGGATAGATCGACAGATCGATAGATAGATAGACAGATCGATGGATGGATAGATAGATAGATAGATAGATAGATGGACGGACAGACAGACAGACAGACAGACAGACAGGCAGACAGACAGACACTCACTCACAAGCACAAGGGTGGAGATACAATTGCTTATAAACAGAGGGTATACAACAACTATGGGAAATGCATAAGCAAGTGCAGAGAACATACATACAAACGCAGGACCAGGAAAATATTAGCTACCAACAGACACACCAACGAACGGGCAAATGGACGCGGATATATGAACCGTGGACAGGCCGAGGCGCCGCAACCGAGGCTCGTCCCATCTGCGACATTCGCCGCGACGGCTGCGGTCTGCAGGGTGTGGCTGGTGTGGCGCTGTAGAAATGATTGGGTTCGAGCGAAGCGACAAGCATCAGTCTACACTGTGTGCCATGACAGGGCAGCCCCTTAAGCTTTCGCACCCTGCAGTTTGCAGCAGATACTGTTGAAGTCTCCAGGTCATGCAGTCCCTTGCGCTCGTCATGCATACGGCCATACAATCATGTCGTTATACCGCTGCCAACGCTTGCTGCTTTCGGCCAACAAACGTCACCCAAATTCTGGCCCCGAACAACGTAATGGCCTTGGCCAGTTCCAATCCGGCGGGCCGGACGTGAGAACCTTCGAGGTCCTTCAATGAAAGCGGGGCGCCGTGCTTCGCTGTCACTTGCTAACATCTCCGAAGGCCGGCCTCTTCGGTTTGGTATGCCTGTCGGAAGTTATCCGCCTGGGATGGGGTCAGAAAGTTTTTGTCTGACGGGTGCTCAAACCCATCACCGTGAGTTGCACGTAATTACTGTTCGTCGCCTGAGCCTTTTACGACGTAGGCGTATTGTCAGTCCAGCCCTTCCGCGTCGCAAAAGCCTTAACCAGCCGCGCAGCTTCATGAAGTTTAATCCTCCTGCTGATGTCGACTTCTGGTACTTGGTCGCCACTGGAACCTGCCGTCGAGCACCGTCGAGATCGTGTGCGGGCGCGTATGCAATTATGCAATGGGTCTGAGGTGAATTGGCCTAGCTCCGATAGCAAGCAGCAGGACTTTGCTATGCAACTTGATCCTGACTCACGATGTTCAGACGTGGCCACACAGCCGCGAGCGCTCTTGTCAAAGGTTGCCGAACATTGCAGGTCTACCGGTCTATGGTACGAACCTCGACGGCATGCGGGAACTCAAGCTGGATAAAGTCTGCCAGAAAGTTCAGCATCAGGTTCATGTCCTCCCAGATTGAGAATAGCACTAACTTCATTCTTAGATTCCTTAGATGCAGTTGTCAGCCTTTTCATCTCGTCACACGAGGAACTTAGGAGATTGAGAATGTTGCCAATGCCGTAATCTGACCTCTTGCCGAACTGATGCTGCGACTTCATTTCTCGTGTGTTTTCGACACTCGCAGGCAGAGCACCTAGATGCACAAGTCTCTGTTGTTGCTTGGCATTGCTAGCCCAACAGAGACAGTGGCAGGTACGCTAATCAAGGCAGTCAACGCTACTAACGTTGAATGTCCGTCTCAAGATGGTCATCATGAGCTCCTTGCTCACTGCCGCTTTGTGCCCGGCCTCAACGTCATAGGCTGTCAAGCCAAGAGCGGATACGGTGTCACGGAGCCTGAGTCGTCCGTGCAACTGCACAGATTGCACAGCCCTGGGAAGTTAGGCCTGTACACAACTCGCTGATTCCCCTGCTGTTTGCTGGACGCTGCCAGTCGCGCACAAGGCAAACCCCTGTAGCCTGAACTGGAGCGTGCTCTCGGACTGTTTTGTTTTGCAACCGCTTGAGATCCCGGGCTGGCAGAATCACATTCAACTTCGAGGACAGTGTCCGATGCATGGGCTTTGTGAGCAGTCCAAACCTGGTACAACATGCGTGCTCCCAGCTGTTCTGGTGGAATCAGGCATGGAGCCTGCCAGCCCACCAATGAGGGGTTTGGGCTCAGGAGTGCTACCATAATGAAAATCAGGTGTTTGAGATGCGCACATTCGTGGCCCACTTGTAGGTGTTTGTGATGCGCAAATTCGTGGCCTGTTCACAATGCTTTGTGTGCGCATGTTGGCTTGTCCCAGGTCTTCCAAGTTAGAGCTGCGATGCCGGTGCTGTATCTTCAAAACCCAGCCCAAAAAATCAACATCAAGAAACGCCAGCAACCCAGTCCCACAAAATCTGAGCCTTCAATCCTGCTACCAGGTTGGGCAAAGCGGCTCTTGACCAGAGATGACTTTCAAAGGCGAGAGGGCCCCCAGGCGCACCTCTTCAAGCGACAACCGCTCCGGAAAAGGGTACCGAGGCTAGGAGCCTATAGCGTGCAGCTGTCCAAGTTGCACTGTTCTGCCTGCCTAGTCGGGGCCATAAGATCTTCAGTCATGGGTGTCCATTCACCAAGCGTGGGACGAGAAGTAGAAGACATGATGTAGAACAGCAGATGAAGAACAACGAGGCAGGCACATGCCATGCTGCTCGTCTGCGACTATGGAGCTCAAGAACCAACCTATCATGCACCCCAGCAGCTTGGACCACAACCTTTCCAGCTTTAAGCTCAGCCGTCCCAGAAATTCCAGTTGCAAGTGTGATACGCCAGGCCGACATTGAATAGGCCACCCGAGCTTCATATTTCGGCGGGCCCACACAGCCAGATTTCGAGCGCCCAGTAAAGCTTCTGAATAGCAGCCCTTTAGCATCATCTCCCTAACGAGGACGACCGCACCTGCAGCCGTTCTTGGGCCGCAGTTGAGACCTGCGGTATGACTCTGGTGCACTCTTCCCTCTCTCTCTCTCTCTCTCTCTCTCTCCTGGGCTTGGGGACGGGTCAGCGTCCCCGGGCTCAATGGCCCACCCAATGTTTTATTGGGTATGCGGGGAGTGAGAAATGACTATTTGATCACCTGTTCAGGCTAAAGCCGTAAAGCATTCGATAACAGACTAGGTGATCGCATATTCTCCACAGAAACATGCATGGAGAAAAGCACATCCTCCCCCCTGTCAAGTCAAGAAAGTCTAGCACCCAATGAGTATAATACGGACAAGAAGATATCGAGCGACAGGGTGGATGTCCCCCCTCCCTCTTACCTCTCTCGCTCTCTCTCTCTCTCTCGCTCCCTCTCTGGAGTCCAATAGCCCTATACGGCGTCGCTGCAAGCTGCGTGCCTCAGGACCCCCTGGTGTCGTATCGGGGGCTGAAGAGGCCTGGCCACTGTGGCTCTGCGGAGCCATGTTCAAGACGAGGAAATTAGCGGAACAAGAGTTCTGGACACAGTGCTGCACAATGGCCGTGATAGTCAGTCAAACTAGCGGTGCAAGCATCGAGCACATGATGCCCATGCCAGTGGCAGTTAATACATACAATAACCATGAAATACATAGCTAGTGCATGCATACATAACCAACTAAATAGACGCCTTGTTAACCAAGTATACACACAACGTACTTACGCAGCAACTGTGTAGTCATAGTCATCAAACAGATTACGAAGATCATTGCACCCACACGTTCTGCTTGCCAGGATTCAGTGAAGGCACTTGTCCTATGGTAGACTGGATTGAGACTATGCACGTTCGCACATACCCGGATACCAGAGTGTAATGTAAACATTGTCGGAGCTCCCATGGTTTCTCCACCAACAGTTGTGCACATACCTTCTGGCTTGGCGGAAGCGAACCACTCGTGTCACTTTAGATCTTGCCCGCTAAACGCCAGCGACAAGCCTTGTCTTCAAGATCCAAGTTCTGGATCTCATCCTGGAACTTGCAACGGTCTTTGGGCTCACCAAAGAAGATTGAAGCTTCTTCTGAAAGTCATCCAGGCCAAAGAGCCCCACCAGTCAACCAGTCGGGTCCTGAAGCGTTTTCGCGAGCAGAGAGTCGTTTTGAATCCCGACCTGTCGGCAATGCGAATCGTTCGGTGCTACCAATCAGGACAAGCGCAGGCTCCTGTCGAGGAGCGCTAATCAACAAGAGTTGCATTTCAGTCACAGTCTGCAACTCCCAAACACCCTCAAGCTTCTCAGTGCGACGAGACAACTTCACCGTATACGTCTAGAAAGGCCAGCCTTCTCCATGACTGAAGGGCGCAACTTCTTCCTTTCTCCCTGGCAAGATGGGATGGATTGACTGTTGCCAGAGCCCTCAACTGAGCGGTTCGTGGTGATGATGATGGTCCTGCTAATTGCGATGGCGGTGGTTCACAGCAAAAGTCCCGGCACCACGCACCGCTGACATCCGCGTGCCTGTGAGGAGTTCGAGGCAAGGCTTGATCGAGCGCTCCAGATTGGCTCCTTGGGGTCTTTTACTTGAATGCAAGCTAGCTCATGGGAAGCACTTTCATCTCTGACTCCATGCTTCCTTGCCCTCCCAGGTTTCGCACCATTTCCGTTGTCTCAGACTAATGACCTGCACAAGCCTCATATGCCGTGCAGACCAAAGAGGAATGATGGGCTATACTTTACTGGGTTGTGATATACCATGTTCGTGGCGATGATGGTGACATGATGGTGAGGGTTATCGCCATCGCCGTCGCACTTCGTTTAGCATTTTTGGTGTAACTGCGATTAGAGGGTGCTCCTAATTGTTGACCAAGCTCCTCCGGATTCTCCTCTTCTTCTGCAGCGGGCCTGGCAACATGCTTGAGGTCGGGGGTTCGAGCGCATATTATCGTATTTCATAGTATCTAATGATATAGCCTAGTATAGTTTACTAAGCTGTGGTATATAACACGTATGACTATACACTTTAGTATCTGGGCCCTTGTCAAGGCTTCTGGACATTCGCTTGCTCGATGGGCTCAGACGCCGCTTAGAGTCCTCGAGGTGTTCAGGAAAGCTTGGCGAAGGTATTGAAGCACTGCCAAACCACGGGCAATAACGTCACGACAATGCAGTACTGGTTCAACAAGGTACAACTCCAAGATGATGCTGTAGAGTGCAGCGCAGCAGTGCAAGATGCCAGAAGTCCACAATATGCTACAACGAGGAGGCAGTGGAATCAAGGAGCAATGTAAGACCAGAGATTTCGTTGCTAGCATGGCCGCAATCAGAATATAACAGAAATATAGCACTGCATTAACGTGATCGTATGAGCGAACTATACTTCTATCTCTTTGCGAAGTGACATCATGGAAGTAAAATGATGAAGCGAAGACGCTGCAAACAGAAGCTTCAGGAATGTCTGAACGGCACGTTGCGATCACCATCAGGCTGTGATGGGCATCTCTTATATGATGACCCCTTGAAGACATCGGGAGAAGATACTTTGTTCGGCACCTGACGGGCAGAGGCAGCAGGAGATCTGGCTGCCGGCTCCTGGGACTTGACTCACTTTTGATGTAGCCAAGCAACCGACACACGCACACGCACACACAAACACACAAACACANNACACACACACACAAAAACAAAAACACACACACACACACACACAAAAACACACACAAAAACACACACAAAAACACACACAAAAACAAACACACACACACACACACAGAGCACTTATTTACGAGGAGATTGCCGAAAATCGCGGCAAAGTGGTGCCGGCAAGTAATTGCAGACTCGGCAGCACCTCCTCCAATGGCAGTACAAAAACCTGTGTCCGAAGTCCCTATCTCAACTGCATGAGCTGGGAAGGTTCCGGCCTGTGGCATCGAGCCGGTTTCACATCCTCAACAGAGAGCCTGAGCTGACTGCTTACAATCACAAGACTGACAGAGAAAGGCAAAGCTGATCCGACAAATGCCCGTGCTCTTAGCTCAGCGCTTCACCTAGTTCGGCCCTACACTTCAAGGCTTCAAAGCCTAGACATGCCTAGACCATTGGATGTTATCGCCTGAGCCCAGGAGGTTCCTGACAATTCCTGAGCCTTTCTGAAGCAGCGGCGAGTGAGTTGGGCAGACAGCTGCGGACAGGGAGGCCGAGCCATCCTGCCAAGAGTGTGCTTGATTCATGATTTTGCTCCTGTCATGACGCTGTGGTAGTACTACGATGCACGAAAGTGTTTAACCGATGATACTTGAATACTACATGGCTTCTGTCGATAGGCAGAGCCAGAGCTTTTGCTCTGCTCTTCCATGCTTTTCGAGCCAACAATCCGAAACTCCCGAAAACCCACTGAGTAACGAAGCATGGTGATCATTACGGCAAGGGTTCACGGCCTGAAACTGATACCGCCCTTTTGCAGCACCTTGTCCATGCTTGTTGGTCTCTGCTGCAAGTTCGCATCGTAGGCCTTCCACCAGCTCAAAGTCGGTGGGACAAAAAGTGTAGCCGTCTTTGCCGAAAGGATAGGATACTTGCAAAGCTCCGCACAGCCTAATTATCCACAAGCTTGTCCTCAAAACGATGGCTTTTGTTCCGTCAGCAGGAATTGCAATACAGCGCCGGACCACCCCGGGGTCCTACCTAAAGATACTTCCTATTTCCATATCCGAACTTCTGTGTAGCCGCGTAGGAATTGCGGCAAGAAAGTCTCAAACCCGTACTCACTTCACCGTAGGACCCACAGGGCTCAAGGAACCACCGGATTTCGCCTCCAGGAGCTGGCGACGAAAATTCGCCCACGAGGAGTCCAGAGCGGCGGCAAAAGTACCTGGCAACGTTGGCGAATGTTTTCTGTCCGCAGATCTAAAGCAATACATTTTTTTAGGTGTGGACCCCATGGGAGCTACAATACACCACATACGTTCGGCAGACCCGGCCACTGTTCCTGCTGCTACAACTACCACCACGACTACCACTATCACTGCCACTGCCACTGCGAGTGGCAGTGGCAGTCCCAGTCCAAGTATCAGTGCCAGCACCAGCACCAGCACCAGTACTTGTACCAGTACCTGTACTACTACCACTACTGCTGCTGCTGATACT